GTACCTGTCTAGTCGTCATTTAGGGGAATTTGACTGGTACAAAATTGTCGAGTATGCCCTACGGCTCTGCAGCGGCCACACCTGCGCGGTCGAGGAAACTCTCCGGTAGACGGTATTCTAGATGTACTTGGACGTCCAGGACCACGCGGTTCAACTGCTGGTGGTAACAAATTATGAAATGGGAGAATGTGCTCGGGAACTTCCCACTCGGCTTCATTCGACAGAGGAAATATAGTCTCGGCATATGCTGTTCTCCAAGACTCAGTCGTATAATACAAAGAGCATAACGTTCTAACAGCAAAGCCTCGATGTATGGCCACCGCAACTGCATGTTCACATGAAAAACTCTTCAACTGAAATCTCGTACAAGTGCATGTGTTATCAGTCAAGTCCACCATATATGCCGTATTACGTGCACATTGCACGGAGAAGCGAAACTCATCTAGTGCTTCCACATTCAACTTCCTCGCAACCTCTGCCGCCTTAAACAGTTTCTCCTCTTGAGCTGGGGCCAACACGCTAGTGCAACTCTCTGATGCCGCACGTCGGTCATGAAACCACTGTTGTAGCTTGTTACGAATGTTCTCAATTATTGCGAGAATTGGTAACTCTCGATCCTTCTTAAACAATGCATTGAGAGACTCCGCGTTATTCGACGTCATCATGTTATATCGACGTCCTGGAAAGTATGCCCGCGCCCAATGTTCGATCCCCATCTTCGTCAGATACTCCAACGCCGGTAATGATTTACTTCCTATCTCGAGCATGAACTTATTATACTCTTCAGCACTGTAAGCTTCGGCTGCTCTCTTGAACAATGAAATGATGCCTGTGCCCCGATACCTAGTCTTCAAATTACCTTGTATATGGTGGATGCAATACCCGTGATGTGCCTCGGGAAATACTTCAGCGATACCGTTTATTATAGACTGTCCTCGATCGGTTACAAAGGCAAGGTCTTCGACTTCCCCGATTACTTCCCTCAGTTTAGAAAAGAACCAACGCATGGACAGATCATTCTCACTGTCGACTATGCCGAATGCAATAGGGTAAATTTGGATGTTGGCATCTTGACATGTAGTAATAATTAATTTACCTTGATATTTAGCTTTCAGAGTCGTACCATCAACTAGAATTACGGGTCGCATTGCATTTCGAAAACCCCGAATACATTTTCCGAGAGCCATAAAGAAATACTTAAAACAATTATCACCCCCCGTCTCAATAAAAAATGTCGTGCCAGGATTAGTTATCCCCATGTTATGGTAATACCTAGCCAATTTAGCATAGCTCTCTTCAGCCGATTCCATTAAATCCTCCAACGCACATTCTTTGGCCTTCCACGCTTTCTGATAGCTCATGACCACTCCGTACTCTCTACGGACGTCGTTAATAATGTCTGAGGGTCTGTAGATCGTCCGTGGATCCTGATACTTGTGCATTATCTGTCGACCAATAAACCATGCTCGAGCTTGCTTGTGATCGTTTCGAAGAATTCCCACTTCGCAAGTATGTTCCCGTAAATACTTGCGAATTACGAAGCACTCATTCGTGTCCATCTTAGTTGCTCTCAAGCGCCAATTGGAACTGTCTTCGACGCAAGCAACTGTCAACAATGACTTGTTTGATTTCTTTACCTTGAACTCAAAGTTATATTTTAATGCCAGCCGGTGCACAGCTTCCTGCAAATCTTTCTTGGTTTCAAACAGTTGTCCGACCTGCAAGTCCTCATCATCGGGAGCCACACGGGAAGAATTCGAGGACAGCCCACTTGTTCCAACCTGTGAGCTCCCATCAGGCTCGTGTCTCTGTCGGGATAAAGCAATCAAATTCTCATTTGTAAAGTCGTTTATGTTCTCATTGTCTTCAACTGTTGACGAAATTTTGCGCGTAACAGCGACATCACGATCAGAAGCAACTGTCTCAGGAATACCCACATCATCCACAGGAACTATCTTCACTGTCTCCCAAAAACCTCGATCATTGTTATCCGCCCTATCCGAATCTTCACGTTCACCTTCGATAATATCCTTCGTAATTAAAGTCACACCAAGAACAGTCGGAGTCCGATGCATTTTATTCAATTCTAATAGATAATTCAATTCAGCATCATTCGTAACGAATACCGGTGGCATCGGAATGGATGAATCCCCATAACCGTTGAATAGATATATCAATTGCATATCGTATTGAGATTGATCGACATTCAGCTTATTTTGCAAATCGTGGTACATTTCTAAATATGGTGTACTTTCTGTTACGGGAATTGCAATACAACCACGTATGTCACTCGTCCATCTCCATTCCCACCGATTATTTTCATTTAATTCGAAATCACCGAAATAACACACGGGGATTATCATATCTGCATGAGGAAATGGTTTTAATCAACTTCAAATATTAATTATAAGAAAGAAAAAGGCAAAAAAATCAGCTGCAGCGAAGGCTGTTTTTAACAGCCGGAAAACAGCCGGCTGTTCGGCTTTTAAACAGTCGAACAGCCGGCTGTTTCAGACTATTTCCGACTGTTTGTTAGCTAAACTAGTTTGGCATAGGAGAATACCGTTCTAAAAACGAAATTAAGCATGCATAATTTAAACGTAAGTTATACATCCGTTTAATTTTTTTTTTGATAGGTTTTGTTAAAAAAAATCTATGTCGACATAAAATTTCTCTATTTAACGTATACTAATTTGCTTAAAATGAAATTAAACATGATTAAATGTACTTACCGATTTGAAGTAATTGATGTGAAAAAAATTTTCAGCTTCAACGTTCCAAAGTTCTTCTAGATTTTGAGGTTCAAGCAGATGAAAAGATGAGAGTTTTTTCTGTGTTGGAAGCTCGTTTTGAAGTTTTTATAAGTGAGGAAATGTTTGGTTTTCAATTATTAAGTAAAAGGGTAGTATATTCCTTTCAGCAATATATGATTTTGTAATTGTACAAAACATTTAAGGGTATCTTTGTCTTTTACCATACAAGAGACCAATGTCATAATATTCATGATTTTGGAAGTCAAAATGGAATTTAGGTCCTTTGACTGAGTCAAACTTAAAAGTACCCCGATTTAATAAAGACTAAGGGTACTAAACTTTATAAGTCGAGAAATTAACCGGGGTTGTCATCCCAATGAAATAAGGTAAACTACCAGCAGCTGGTTAACATATTCAGTTACCATTACTACATTCATGCGAGTGATGGGAAGAAAAGAAAGCTAAACATTGACATAAGTCCAAAATTACAAAATACACACCTTGTTCAGAATGCTACCTAAGCTGATATTACCAATCTGTTCCTCCCCAACTAAGGTTTCTCAAGATGCAAGGAAACAAAACGCAACAGATATAAAGAACAAAGGAATGTAAAATTAAGGATAGCACCTTTTACTTTTCACAAACAAGTCAAGAAAGGGACAGATTTTTCCCCAACAGGGAACCTATCCACTAACATAGCATGGAAAATGCCGAGCTGCCAGAAAGGAAATGCCCACTATTTTGACAGATCCTCGAATGTGAATGGGACCCGCGCCGATCCCACGTGAATAAAAAATGTAAAAAATCTCACCCCACCCACGCTGACTGCGAGGATCTGTCAGCTGGGGTGTCAATTTTCTTCTAGCACCCCAGCATGGTCCAACATAGCATACATCATAATCCATATGCATGTGAAGAAACTCTACATTTTTCATTTTATTTTATTCACTAGTCTATTTGAGACTTTCTTTCTTTGCAATTAGGAAAATTTGACGGATGTGTAGTTCATGAGCAACTTACCAGGATATTGGATTAGGGCCTGTGTTCCACCATTCTCAAATATTGCAATCTTTTGGACAGTACCATATGCAGAGAGTACCTATCAAATTAGTAGCTATCAATTTATTACAATTCATCTGACACGTGGGCGTATGTGAAACAATAATTAGTACATTCAATACCGTGTGAAGAACATCCACATTGACTGCATATTGCATATTCTCAATGGATGCGAGCTGCATATTACTCTCAACTTCCTTATTCTCTCCATCAGGACCTACAACGGGCTAAATGCCGGGTAAAACTCCAACCGAGCCAAATTGAGCAGTTCTTCTTAAGTTAAATACTCGAACGGATATCTGAATCAAGAATTGACAGGTTCGTTTCGATTCTTGGTTCTAGATCAAGAACCAAAGAATCGAATGAAAATCGAATCACCCTAATTTTTTTAATTTATTTATTTTAAATAAGTTAAATTATTTTAATTTTTTCTAAATAAATTTGCTAACTAATTATTTAGCTTAAACCCAAAAATATGATTTTTCCTATTTCTAATTTTCAGTCCAAACCCAACTTAATCAAATTTGTCTAAATTTTACCCAAATATGTTATTTTACCGTAGAGTTGTTTTTACCATTCTGAAGAAATCGAATTGAAACTAGACAGCGCCTCTCTTAATTATTGTGAGCACGCTATCTTTCTTCTCGTGTGATTTTAACAATCAAATCTATGAAAAATTTAACAAAAAGAGATGCAAAAGAAATATAAGATCAAACTACGTTATTTTATAAGAGTTAAGATTGAACATATCATTAGTTAAATTAATGTAGCATCGTAAATATTAAACAAATTAATTATAGTACGGAATCCAAGAACCGAATGAGACTGTATCCAAACGGTTCCATATTTAAATGAGAACTGAACCGAACTGGACCGGACCTGCCAGCCCTAGTCCTTGTCCACACAACAAAACAGGTTAGCAAATATTCCAGTTGAGAAACACACTTGAACAAAACCTTCCATTGCAGTAGGATTAACAGGAAGATAAGGATTTGTATAATCCCTGCGCGAGGAAACAAAACAAGAATCCATGTGTAAAAAGAAACATTTATCCACCGTTATTGTTTGATTTCACAAGAAGTCCTCGAGCTAGACCCTCCTATCACTTGAACTACGAGAATTTGATGGACCAAAAGATCAATCAGAAAGCAAATTTATGACACAATGAAACAAAAAAACTCTTTGCACACACTCCAACTCATTCAATGAAGTAATTAAAGGAAAGGCAAACATTTCTTATCTAACAAGTTGAAACACGTCATCATTGACCATTCATGGGAACTAAAATTATGGGCATAAAGCCTATAACATATTAGAAGAGAAAATGAAAAGGATCATTACAGAACCAAATTCACTATGTATGTTGCAGTTGGACTCGTACTAGAGCATGGAGAATAAGAAAATTACGTACTTGACCAGTCATATATTTATAGTGCACTCCTCCACGCTACCGTTGGGCCTACTTTGGCTTGAGGCTTGACCACATCACATATGGTGCGGTCCTCTCGATAAGCAACATATTATTGATGAAGCTCTTGTTTTATTCAAACTTTTTCTAGACGTTTTACAATTTTTGTACTCATAAAAGGTTGACTAAATAGAAAATTAATTGATCTTGCTTTAACTACATTAATCGCACCAAATGCAAGTTATCCGTGGCAGGAAGCCGTTAAAAACATAACTAAAATTTATTTGCACAATTCAATATATGTTATGTTTTATTACTACCATTCTAAAATTTATTTTTTTACAAATATTGGTGTCAAATACCCTCGTGTGCATGTATGATTTGTCACATCGTGGCCCCCCGGGCATAGTTCAATGGTGCAAAGGATAGGAGTGATGTTATCTCACGTCTTATTGACAGTCGCAGTATGGAGGTTAGATTCCTGAGACATGGAATTTGACTCATTGTAGGCGCAATGTACAAACAGCTTTTATTCCCTGACCTGCTGGGCACATTCCGCGATTTACCTCCCCCACAAAATTCTAAAAGCGAAGTGGTGGAGGCCCTTAAAATTGGAGTTCAACTTTTATATTTGTCACATCGTGTATTTCGTGTCATTGCTTTGCTTCAATCTGTTTAGATGTGATCTAAATAGATTAGAGTGCATGAAGAGCACGATCATCGAGACCACGTGAAAGTCTGTTTTTCATACAAAATTAAATAGTTTCATAACATGTGACTAGGATATGTTAGGCCATATAGTAAAAAGTAAATAGTTTCATAACACATCGATGCCACGTGCATTGCACTATTATTGTATTTAATGTGTCTTTATTAGCGTGATGTAGAAATTTTAATTTTTTTGTCATAATCATAACATACTTTTGAAGTTTGAATTAAATTTGTTGGCATGAACTTTCTCTGGCAATTAAATTTATGGTCGAAAACTTAAAGTTTGGCCTTGATTAAATTCCGTTGGTGTGATTAATGTAGTTAAAGCAAGATCAATTAATTTTCTATTTAGTCAACCTTTTATGAGTATAAAAATTGTAAAACGTCTAGAAAAAGTTTGAGTAAAACAAGAGCTTCATCAATAATATGTTGCTTATCGAGAGGACCGCACCATATGTGGTGCGGTCAAACCTCTAGCCAAAGTAGGCCCAACGTTAGCATGGAGAAGTGCACTATAAATATATGACTGGTCAAGTATTTAATTTTCTTATTCTCCATGCTCTAGTACGAGTCCAGCTGCAACATACATAGTGAATTTGATGTGTATTTTTATATAAATAGGCTAATAATCTTGGTTCTAATATTTTATAGAATGCTCAATTGCCGAAATATAATAATTCTTGAAAAATCATAATATGAACACCGATATGCTTGAGAACATCACATATAATTAAAGTAATCTAAAAAAGGGGAAAACTAACAAATAAATTACGCGCAATGCTATATATTTTTTGTTGATGATCCCTATTTAAGGTGTTATTAAGTGTCTGTTGGAGCTCCATTATTTTCTAAGAGTGCATTTTGAAATAGTAGATTGATGAAAAATGTGTTTTTAAAAAATAATGAAAAGTTTTGAATTTGCATGTAATATTATTTATTAAAGAATATGTTGTTAAAAAGAAGATAGAGAAAAATATATTTTGAAAATAATAGAGATTAAACAAGGGTTAAATTATAAGATCAATAAAGTGAGTCTCATATTTAAAAATTTAATTACCCTTATTATTTCACTCCCATTACTTAGAAATAATCCCTAATTTGTTTATATAACATCATTTATAAATTAAACAAATATATTAAATTACACAAAAAGAGCCTCTTATTTTCCAAAAGGAGTTTTGTAGAATGAATTTTCCCCATTAGTTGTACCCGTTCCCATCCGATTTATTTGATTTAAATATTTAAGTCAAATACGATCGTCCAAATCCTATAAGATTTTGGACTTTGCTATGGGTACAGAAAAGGCAGTATAGATTGGGTACATAAATTCAAAACATACACACATACATGGGGTGGGTGGTATGGTTTTTTCCAATATAAAACTCACATGGGCCCCACCCCATTTGAGTACCCTGTTTTTTTTCTGCGAGGATAATTCACAAAATTATCCTAAGATTTTACTTATTTATACACATTTCTTTCTTGGTACGTCTACTTCCAAGAAATGTTATTAATGGTTGCATCAAGCACAATATAATACAACATTGTATACCCCAAAAACAGTAAAAATACGCATTATTGTGGCTTATTTGTTTACTTATAGATAGATAAAGAAATTTTAGAATAAAATAATCAAAGTTGAAAATATATAGCTAACTTTTAATAATGAAATAAGAAATTAAGTTTCAGAATTGACAATAAATGATTGGCTTAATTAGTTTGATAGAAAGGCCAAAAAGTTACTTAAAATAAAAAAGTAGTTATCTAACTACAGAATGAGTAAATTGTAAAACTGTATAGATTTATATTTATTTTTAAGATCCAACTAATAAGTGAATTAAAAATAAGATTGAATAGTATTAAATTTAATCTATTGCATCCTTCAATTATATAGACTTGTGCATAAAAGAAGGCAAATGAGCTATGAATAATGAGAATATTAAGGGCGGTGGCTGGTTGGCTGGCTGCAATGAAGTGAGAGACGGATAAATGAAGATTCTATATGTGTAGCTGAGTTTGTGAAGGCAAGTAATGGTTGGAATGAGCAAAGCATTTTGTTTTATATTCTTCTTTCTTATGATCCATGGTCCTCGTTTAATTCAAAATATTTACATTTTAAACACGTCCCCCACAAACGAGGACTCCCCGTACGAAAGCAGTGCGGGGACTCCCCCCACATTTGTGTGGGGGTCCCCGCACCAATTGAAATGACTGTGCGAGGACTCCCCGCACCACCAATTTCGCACAGTTATTTCTACCCCCATTACTTTGCTTCCTCTCTCTTTCTTACTGTATTGAGGGTGAATATCAAAGGGCTGTAAAGGAAAGAGAGTTGGTGTATGAAGGAAAGAATGGAGTGGGCGTAAAATTAGAATTTATTAGTGAGGGTTAAATCATTCAAATCAATTGCTTTGGATTCGCATTAACATGTTTAAATTCTGAAAATCTTGGTTTTTATTTTCATAATTCAGTATAAATTATCTGATCTGTTACTGAGACAACTGAGTTTTGAGAAAACTTCGAAACCTCACAGATTCTCTCCCGTTTATTTCTCACTTTAATGGGTTTTAGTAATCTTGCTGAATTATGAGTGATATACTTGATTCCATATATTTTGTGTAATCTATTGAATGGAGATTTAGTTCCTTAAATTCTTAATAAATTTTCCATCTGGCATCTGGGTTCATTTCAAAACCCTGAGATTCTTTGTTATTTTTCAGATTTTGTGTATCTTCAAGAATATGTTAGAGGATATGGCGGATGGTTTGCCATATATAATATCCCATTTGGGTTATCCTTTAAATTTCAAGATTTATATTTAAGCTTAAAGGGAAAATGGGTAGAGAAGAAAACATGGATTTGAGCAGTCGTACCCCGCACACTCCGCACCAATTCCGTGCGGAGTCCCTGCACAATTCGTGCGGAGCCCTCGCACAGTCTCCCATGAAATCAACCCCTTCTTTTAAATCTTTGGTTTTTAGTATGTTCGACAAAATCAAAGCTAATATCAAAATTTGTTTAACATTTTAATATTTCATTTGACGCAGATAAAAATATAAAAAGGAAATAAGTAGTTCAAATAAATTTCATTTGGTAGAAGGTATAATTCACTTTATTTAAAGAAAATGACTTATATCTAATAGCAAAATAAACAGATTTCCAAAAACTTACATGGAAGCTGTTTTCCTTTGTTTGATTTCTATCATCTAGCACTGTAATCATCCAATTCACAGAAAATTCCGTCACCAGCGAATATATTTGCACGGTTAGTTATGCATTAACTTTTATATACATAAGAATTAATAATTTAAAAAGTTAGAAAAATACATATTTTCTAATCATCTAATTCAGAGAAATGCTAAAACCCAATCTAAAAATGCACTCACAATATTTTGTAGCTAAGTAGACTCTAAATTTTACACACAGATTTTAATAGTTTAAAAGAATTAGAGAAATATAAATTTAGCATTAAATCAAGAATATACCTCTCTATTCACACAAAAATCCAAAATTGTGAATCGAATAAACAAAATTATAATTATCAGATAAAATCGAGGATATACCTTTCTATTAACTCGAAATAAAAAATTTTGCACGTAGAATCTTGAATAAACAAAATCATAAACTGAGAAAAAGGGCATGCCAGGGTTTACGTCTCTATTCATGAGGATTTTGTACGAAGAGATTAATCACAGAAAAAACGAGAGAAGAATTGAAGAAGAAGTGAGAGAAGAAAATGATGATAATAAAGAAGAAAGCTTGTGTCTGGGTTTGCGTGGAGAAATGGCTTCACCGTCCTTTTGAATAAGAAAAAATTGGTATGCTGATATTTATAGTGAAATCACTGTTTAACTACAGTAGAAATCCAAACGCTATTGCAACTACAGTGAATTTTATTCATCTATCTATAAGTAGTTATATATATATAAATAAAACAATAACAACAAACAACAAAAGCGCATGCAAGAGAACATCCTAGTGTCAATTAACTGCACCACAGGCCATAAGGAAAACTATTGGTAGCATCGTAAACATAAAAGATTAAGGCACGAGAAACAAAAGATTTGCAATGATGAAAATGGGTATCGAAACTACATGATACAATTTACATTATAGCACAGTAAACCTCCACCCAAGATACAACCGTAACACTACTCGTCCATGATAAATATTTCAAGCAGATGATAAGAACTCATAATCATGTTCAGTTAAAAACTATTTACAGATAACAGAAAGATGAGTCATGCTCAACATCTGTAAACTTTAATCAAATAGACAAGAAGAATATTTATCAAGAAACTGTAAATAATAAGCAGCTATAGTGACATACCAAGTGAATGACATCAATGCTGACATTACCAGCTTCAACTCCCTCAATTGTAACAAGCAAGACATTGCCTGGAACATCTCCCGAACTCTTGTTATTGACAATTTCGTTCCTGTTCGAGTACTGGATATAGACTGTTTTGCCACGAACTTGTGGTGGTTCTGAAGCTAAAGCACAATATGCAACCATGTTAACTCCCTGATTAATATCCACATTAAAAGAAAAAGAAAAAGGAAAAAAACCACACCATCAACATAAAGCCGATAGATAATTCAAAACCATAGAAACTTCAAACAGTAAAAAACAAATGCATTTTATCAATATAAATAAAAATCATTGTCTTCTCTTTTATGCAATTCTTGTCGATTTTATCCCGCAAGTGAATGGATCGTAACAAGTAGTAAAATGGACCTTTTGAGTCCGGATTATCGTTCCCACGAGGACTGTACTTTTAATGCCCAATTTATTATTTCTAACTTCTATTTGACGAAAATAAACAAAAACAATGATTAAATGTGATTTTTATTCTAAATACTTAAAAATGCAATTGGATGCAACGAAAAGTGATTGAGAATTCAAACAATAAATGGACGTTAGGGCGGAACAATTTCACTTATTGGTCACTTTTACTTCGTAAATCAAGATTCATAAAACTTAAGGTAGTGTTCGGTCGAATTCTTCTATTGTATTCAACTTACCCCTCTCGAGTTCTCATTGAGCCTATTTAATTAGTTTAATTCCATATCTCTATGCAAATTAAATTTAATTAAACGAAACATTGGTTCTGAGAATTCACACACGACCGTAGCAATCAATATAGGTATCTCTACACGTTATATCAATTTACTGGATTTTAACATGTGGTCTAAACAAATAATCCGCATCTCTATGCAATCATTGTTCACAAATCATCTAATTAGTGATCAAGTAATTAAATGTATTAAGAATAACATTAAAATCAACACAAAATATAAAAGCACTAGAATCTCAATTGCATGAAATAAAGGATTCCAAAAGATTACATTGTTCGCCCTAAAATCAAATTTAAGTACTCATAATAATGGAAGAAAAATAGGAAATTGTCTTAGAATACATCACCGGATTTGTAATAAAGATGTAGAAGAAAAAGTAGAATTCTTGCACCAAGATCTCCTTCCCCTTCCAATGAATACTTCTAATATTCAATTGTTTGGTGTTAATCTTCTTGAATTTCTCTTTTCAATCTCCCTTCTTGTTGTCTTCTCTCCAATATGTCAAGAACACGTGGCTTGATTCCACAGATTTTTAGTGTGCGGTTCCCCTCTAATTTAGGTCTTCAATTCTGTGTTTATAATGTCTTGGAGTTTAAGGAAAGATTTGGAGATGAGTTGGGCCGAAAAAGAATGGTAAAAACTTAAAAAAATTACTCTCGCACCAGGCGCCGCGATTTGGGCGCCTAGGCGCTGACTTTCTATCAAAATTTCGGCATCATGGCGCCTGGGCGCTGAGGACTACTTCTGTTGCACTGGACAGCTTTCAGTATTTTTGTCATAACTTTTTTGTTTGATATCCGATTGAAGTGATTCAAGATGCGTTGGAAATCTAATTCAAAGGACTACAATTTTACTTCAGGAATCATTCTCCAATTCGATCGTTTTCTATGTCAAAATGAGTCTAAATGTGAGACCAAAACTCCGGCGCAAAACTTTTTGGTTGGAAAATGATTTATGATCATATCTTGACTAAATTTGATCCCTTTGACACCTTCCTTCATCCAATTGGCTTCTAGAACTCTCGGATCTTCATTTTAAGTTTCGACACGACTTTTGATTAATTGCATTTTAATCCTCGAACTTTGAATCTCTTACGTTTTGGTCATTTTATCCAATTTCGCTAGCTTTTGCCTATTTCCTTCCTTTGACCTCTTTTAGCTCTTGTTTTCTCCACTTCTATCAATCTACAAAACAACACCAAAATCACTTGTTAGCACTTCTAAAATACTCTCCAAGATAGCAAAATCATGAAATTAATGACATAATATAATGAGTGTAAATCACTCATTAGCAATTGAATCAAAATTGTCACATTTTTTTTTATTGTTTTGGATGAACCGAATCACCAACTGAATTTGACGATTAACAGCATATGATTTGAATATATAGAATGGCTGTATAAACAGGTCTATCTGTTGTATGCATTCGCATATTGAAATAAGATCAAAGTAAAATTTATATCCCATCAGAAATACTGCTTCATGAAATCTCTCTCTCTCTCTCTCTCTCTCTCTCTCTCTCTCTCTCTTACACAGTGAAATACAAACTGTTACATTAATAAAAAGTCCCTACTCTCCTACAAGTTTTCCTTTCTAATTGATTCACCGGTAACATTTAGATTACTGTACAAGAAAATTGAGAAAAAGACATACAAATTCAACGAAGGCTTGATTGTGATTGGCATCGACATTGCACTTGGTATTGACAATCTTGCTAAAGGGTTTGCAGAGTTTGACCAGCTCTTCTTCGATGCACTCCACGGGAGATTTCGCAAGTGGAATGTAAGTATTATGCCCTAGGTCCAATCAACTTTGGACATAAATACTTTTATATATAATTAATGCAATTAAATGACAAATCTATTATTTAATTAATAGACAATTAAATAAATAATAGAGTTCGTAGATTCAAATCTTTGTAATTTGTTAATCACAAGGAGTTGTGATTGTAAGATACAAATTACATTTAATTGAATCTTAAATCATCCGTGGTCGTAAGTAATAACGAGATATGGATATCGTTATTACGGATAGACCATCACGTGTGGTATTTCTTACTTGTGAAGTAAGTAGCTGATCTCACAAGCTAAAGTGTGGTGACACTTAAATGAACACGTAGATGTTTTGCTATAGAACAAAACATTGGAGACTCTTGGAGAGATTTCACATGGATAACTATTTGAGTGTCAGTGGTTAATCTCTAACATTCGGTAGTGGAATTGGTCCTTTGACTTGAGGTCGTCATGATACCTTATATGAGAATAGTCATACTTTAGCGGTGTTGGATGTTGCTCTGAAAGGGCCGCTATACGACATCGTTCGGGTATGTCAAGAATAGTATGAAGATTGTGATTGATCAATAAAGGATTTGTCACTCTTAGATAGTAGGAGATTATGATCTGTATTTCATTCAATTAAGTCGACGATGAAATTCTTGGCCAAGGTGTACTCATAAGTCGAAAAGGAGTTTTCGACTTATATTGACTTAATAGTAGAGTGAAAGATATGATCGATGATCGAGATTGACACAATTCCATATCTCGTAATTGATCGAATCATATTGACGAAGGGATTATAGTTTCACGGTAAACGAACGAATTTGGTTTTGTCATACCACGTGACATTTTTCGTCATATGTATTGCCCTGACACATTGCTAGATGTCAATCAGGGACGGCGAGTGTGAATTGAAGATAAATTAAAAGGGTGTTTTAATTTATCAATTTTGATTAGATCAAAATAATATTTCACGTCGTTAGGCATCGTGGTCGGGAACCTAATGGGTCGCACACAAAAGAGAATTGGAAGATTGCAAATTGCCAATTGGTTAATTTAACAATCGTTGGATAAATTAATTAGTTGGATTTGTTATTTATATTCCTGAATTAATTAATTGGATTAATTAATTCATGAACCGGGTTTAATTAAATGGATTAAATAAATATTGAACTGGACTGGGCCGAGCCCGTTTGGGTTTATATAAATACATGGCTAGGGTTTGAGGTCCATATGTTTTTCATTATTCTTGCTGGCATAAGAAAAAAAATCCTGGTAGCTGCAATTTTGTTCTCTGTGTGGATTACCGTTGGAGGCTGGACAATTGGACAGCTGTGGATGGCGAATTAAGATTGCTGGAACGAAAAGAATAGCAAAGAAGTTTGCAGATTTGAAAAAGGTACAATCTTATCACAATTTCTATCTAAACATAAAGGCGATTCTTGGTGGGAATCGAAAATTATTTTAAATTCCGCTGTGCATGTATAAGTAGATTCCCAACAGTGGTATCAGAGTCTACTTTGTGTTTGTTAGGAATTGATCTTTGATTGTTATTGTTTTTCATGTTTCTAGCAATTAAGAAAATTAATTTTCGTATTCAAAATTGGTTTTGAGGAAGAAAATAATATTTTTAGATCGGAATTAAAAATAAAAAAAATAAAAAAAGGGGAAGGGGCTGAAATTCGCCGGCGGTTTTCTCTGGCAGTGGAGCGCTCGGCAGCACCGGTTGCTGCTGCTATTGTAGCAACAGCGCCAGCCGGCGCTGCTAATTCTGGCAGCAGCAGCGCGCAACGCTACTGCAATAGCAGCGTCGCGCGCTGCAGAATTTCACTGCAACGTTCGTGCTGCAGTCTAACTACAGCGCGAACGCTGCTGTAGTGGCGGCGTCACCCGCTGTATGACAGCAGTGACGATCCGCCGCCTAAGAACACCGAGGCCGCCGCCAACAAGAAAGAGGAAAAGATTTTACTTCAAAAATCTAGGGTTTGCAGAGTTTTTGGGCGTTTGGAGGCAGGGGCCTCGTTTGCAATTTTTGAAATTGCAGGCCCCCGCTTGCAAATATGATATCCAGGGTCAAATTGTTAATTTTTTAATTGAGGGTCATTTTTGGCAATACTTCATATTAAGGACCCCTGCTTTCAATTAAATGAGAAGGGTGACTTTGCAATTTTTAATTGGAGGACCTGTCTTGCTATTAAGTTAATTGAAGGACCACCTTTTAATTTTAAATTTGGGTCAATTTGCAAATTTCAAAAATGGGTTTTGAATTTAAATTTTAAATGGATTTTAAAATTATATTTTTAATTGGGTTTGACCCATGTTTTTATTTTGACCCAAATTAAAATTTTATTTAAAATTGTCGACTTTTATATTTTCGTTAAAATATGATTTTAACTTAAGTATCAAATCTGACCCTATATTGAATTTTATTTTATTTAGGAGTATTATCCTAAACTAAAATATTAATTCAATTTAAATTAGAGTTTGACTCTAATTTAATACCTAATTATAATTTGATTTTAAGTAATTATTGACCGAAATATGTTATTGAATTTAGAACTGAATTCTAATTTGAAATTTAATTTAAAATTTGATTTTAATTAAATTGTCGCCCTAAGATTCAATGTGAATTAGAGTTGGACTCTAATTTAGGACTTAATTAAAATTTGATTTTAATTAATTTTTCACCCAAAGATATTTTAGAAATTAGAATTGGATTCTAATTTGACATTTAATTAAAATTTGATTTTAATTAAATTGTTTTGCCCTAAATTTTTCTTTAAATTGGAGTTAGACTCTAATTTGATGTTTAATTAAAATTTGATTTTGATTAAACAGGTTCGCCCTAAAATCTTAGATTTAGAGTTGGACTCTAATTTTACCATTTAATTAAAATTTGATTTTGATTAAATTCATTCGCCCTTAAATATTGAAATTAGAGTTTGACTCTAATTTGATATTTAATTAAAATTTGATTTTAATTAAATTATCCCGCCCTATAATTGTCGAATTAGAATTGGACTCTATTTTGGTATTTAATTAAAATTTGATTTTAATTAAACATGCCGCTAATTAAATAATCGATTAATATGATTAATTAATTATTTAATTATTCCAATCCATTTATCTAAAAGAGTTTAGACGAATTAATTGCTAGAAACTTGAAACTTATTTGCATATAATATTAGATATTATATAGGTATACATTTATGTGATAAATGTATTATTAGTGGACGATTATGGACTCGACCATATGGATGTGTTGAATGGTTAATTTTATTCTTGTTGATTTCTGGGCTTACGAGCTCTTAATTATTTTGGGCTTGCAAGCTCTTAATCATTTTGGACCTGGGAGTCCGTTATTGCTATTATTGCTATGGGCCTGCGAGTTCAATTTCATCTAGGCTTGCGTGTCAACTAGTATAGGATACATGTTGCAGCTGGAGTAATTGAAGAAATAAGAAGAGGAGGAGACCATGGAGATGGTACATTGATACTGATTAGTGTAATACCCCCTAAGAATTGATCAACTAGTCTTCCTTATGGCTCCGGAAGACTAGGTAGTAAAGTCCATAATTGTCCACGCTATTATATTATATGTTATATATATTTATTTGCATGATAGATGTATAATAATGTATAGGGGTGTAAGCGGTCCGTTTTGACCGGTTTTTGACATATTTTCAAACCAAACCGTTTAAAACGGTTTGAGAAAAACCCAAACCTAAACCAAACCATTTTGAACGGTTTGAAAAAAACTCAAACTTAAACCTAACGGTTTGGTTCGGTTTTAAACCGCCGGTTTCACCATATATTTTTTGCACGTCTACTTTTATGTTATTAATTCATTGAATTTAATACATATTTATATCTCACTAGTAATAAATTTAAAACAAACTAAGCCCCTGTTTGAACCAATTTTTTGGAAAAAAAATGAAAATTTAAACCGTTATTCCACAAGTGCAGCCGCCTTTGTTGACCTGCTATTTCATGTGTGGGACCCAACCTTCTCTCCAATAGTCAATTTTCTCATTATGATGATATGGAAAATATGGCTCAAATAGGGGTTAAATATCTACTATAAATTTAAATATCAATTAAATCAAAGTGAAATCACAATAAACTAAAACATAATTTTTTTCATTTTTGTTCACCTTTTTTAGGCTAATGACGATACAATAACGTTACAATACAAGTCTACTAAACTAGATATAAGTCCAAAAAATATAATGATGTCCAACAAGATTTCGTGAGCATCATATCTAAAAAATGAATACTGATTAAATAAAGAGAATAACCAACCACAATAATAAAACAATTGTCTATAATATCTAAACATAATAATTACACAAGTTTACGTTTGTATGATGTTACGAAACACATTTAATTTCAGATTCTTACCATAGTTTGGTCCAAAAAATTATTGATTTGAAACTTTATTTGTAGCAAATATTATCACCGAATGTTTAGGATCTCTTTGTCTCCGATTTGGTATAATGGACTTTAATTTAACTTTGAAGAGGTGTGAAAAATCTGAAAAAGAAGTGTGTGGTGCCGGTGGCTCAAAACTGTGTTGGGTGTCGACTGGAGTTCATCTAAATTTTGAAGAGAAAAAGCTTTTGATAGATTATATTAGTCTTGAAATTATTAAATATATATTAGGATTATTGGATAATAATAATAATAATAATAATAATAATAATAATAATAATAATAATAATAATAATAATAATAATAATAATATATCTGTATTAGAAAATTAGGAATTGATAAAAATACCCACAAATGACAAAACTAATGAATTTTACATATTTGGATCAATTTTCAAAAAATTTCATTTTTTCATTTTTTTATTTTTATATATTTTTTCGCCGGTCCGGTTTGGTTTTAAACCGTAATTAAAATTCTTAAACCTAAACCAAACCATTTTGACCGGTTTGGTTTGGGTCAAAACTATTCGTTGATCGAGTCCACGTGGCACCAAACCGAC